CCACCAGCACCTAACTGAAGTAATTCATTAATCTGATAGGCATGTTATCAGATGTTTTACTTTGGCACATTTTTTTTTTAATCATTTGATTTTTGGCTCCTGTTTATACTTTTTGCCTTTTTCTTTTCTTTTTTTTGTTGGTCGTGGGACTTGAACTCTGGGGTTGGGCGTTGTCCCTGCACTCTTCAGCTCAAGGATAGCACTTTGCCACTTGAGCCACAGTGCCACTTCCAGTTTTCTGGTGGTTTATTGGAGGTAAGAATCTCACAGACTTTCCTGCCCGGGCTGGCTTTGAATGGTGATCCTCAGATCTCAGCCTCCTGAGTAGCTAGGGTTTCAGGTGTGAGCCACCAACGCCGGCCACTTTTTTCTTATATATAAAGGTGTGTAAAATATCTATGCAATCCTTTTATATAAGTAGAATGTTCATTTTTGTCATACCTCTGTATTTTGCCCATACAGCTGTTATCTTTGTTTAGCTTTTCTACTGTGTGCTTAACTTATGAAGTCGTTTAATTGATCTTTTCCCTTGTAATTTTAGTTGCTTTTTAAATGCTTTAAAGACATTTCTGTCCTATGGAAGGACAAGATGATCAAACATGTTTTCTTTCTGAGATTGATTTTGTTATTAGTGTAGGAATTTTTTATTTTTATTTTTTGGTTAGTCATGGTACTTGAACTCAGGGCCTGGGCGCTGTCCCTCAGCTCTTCAGCTCAAGGCTAGCGTTCTACCACTTGAGCCACAGTGCCACTTCCGGCATTTTTCTTTTTGCTTATGTGGTGCTGAGGAATCAAACCCAGGGCCTCACGCATGCAAGGCAAGCGCTCTACCACTGAGCCACCTGCCCAGCCCCAGCTCATTTTCTTAAGGCTAGCGCTCTACTACTTTGAGCCACAATTCCACTTCCTGGTATAGGGTTTTCTATTGCTGAACCCTTTACAGCTCAGCTTGCTGGTAAGCAGATGCTACAGGTAGATGCAAGATGTTGCAGCCTGCAATTCGTGTGACTATAGTCGCCAAAGCAATTACCATCACTTCAATTTCTCACTCTGAACAAAGATAAATAGTCATAGGTACTTATACACACATGTGTGTGCCAGTAGTAGAGGTTGAACTCAGATTCGAGCTCTAATTTTCCTGCAGTTGGCTGGTGTTCCACAACTTGAGCCATGCCTCCAGTCCTGATTTTTTTTGTTGGTTTTAGCCTTTCACTAAGTCACACTGTCACTGAACTATTTTGCTCAAGGTTAGTGCTCTTTCAGCCACAGCTTCACTTCCAGGTTTTTGGGGCTAATTGGAGATAAGAGTCCCATGGTATTTCCTGCCTGGGTTGGCTTCAAATCATGATAACTCAGGCCTCTGCCTCCTGCATAGGTAAGATTACAGGTGAGTCACCAGCACCCAGCCAGTTCTGATTTTTTGCTTGGTTAATTGGAAACTGAAATCTTCAGATCTTAGCTTCCCGAATGGCTATGATTATAGGTGTGAACTTTTGCTGCTGTCTCCTATTTATTATTGAATATCTAAATGAGCTCAGCTTACAAAGCGAGTTGTTTCACCAAATTCATGAGGTTTATCCTCTCCATGCACTCTGTCTACAGGAAGATGGGAGTTTTCGTAATTCCACGTCACTTTCCAATTGTGATATAAGCAGTGGAAATTGGTAAAGGTCTATGCTCCAGGAAGAAACCACCAGTGCACATTCTTCACCAGTGGCCCCTTCTGTTGTCTCTCCTAGAAGGTTCATAAACATGCCCTCCTTCAAAGAGCAACTGCTTCTTGTCAACAAATGCAGAATGGATTTATGCTGGTGACTGACCAAAAGAAAAAGAAGATACCTTTTTTATGTGTGTGGATTCAGAGCCATTAAATGGTTTTGAAGGGCTAGTAACAACAGAAGTTGCAAGTGTATCAAGTCAAACCAAAGCCTTTGGTCCTGTTACTTCATTTATGTTCAGCATAAAGAAGAAGGGAAACCAGAAAACTCACAGTTGTTTTATTTTGGTCAGTTGTGGGGCCTGCACTCTGGGCCAGGGCGGTGTCCCTCAGCTCTGTAGCTCAAGGTGAGTACCACTTGAGCCACTTTTTCTGCTTAATGTGGTGCTGAGGAATCCAACCCAGGGCCTCATGCATGCAAGGCAAGCACTCTACCACTGAGCCACTTTCCCAGTCCCCAAACTCACAGTTTTTAAATGCCTCAGATGCATAAAGGTTTATAAATCATGTGAAACAGAGGCATACACAAACCGATTTCCTCCATTCCTGTCCTGTTGAAGAGTCTCACTGACAATGTGCGCCCCACTTAGGAGCTCTCTGCCATTTGCAATATCTGTGACTTGTCATTCAGAACAGATCAAGTTTCTCTTAAAATTTCTGGGGAAATGCCCTGACTACTTGTGCATTTGCTGATAGCTGGCCTTTGCTGATATAAAACCAACACATTTTAGACTGTCCTGAAAATAGCAACAATTTGCTTGGTCCATTTTGTCTCAAAATTCTGAAAACTGAACAGCCACACATGAATCATAGTTTGAGTCACTGGAACATGAAGAGACCTAAGAGCTAGCTGTGGATGCAGAGTTTGAAGGAGGAAAAGCAAAAACTGAGAAATTTCTTAAAAGCCAGAGGTACTGATAGGATTTCTCCCATCAAGAGGAACTAATGTTGACTGTTACCAGTGAAAATTAAAGAGATTGTGAAGCCAGGAGCTGGTAGCACATACCTGTAATCCTAGCTGCTCAAGAGACTGAGATCTGAGGACTGTGGTTCAAAGCCAGTTTGGGCAGAAAAGTCTATGAAACTCTTACCTCCAATTAACTACCAGAAAACCAGAAGTGGCACTGTGGTTCAAAGTGGTAGAGTGCTAGCCTTGAAGAAAAAAGTTGAACAACAGCACACAAGCTCTATAACCTACCAAAAAAAAAAAAAAAAAAAGACTGAAAGCTAGATATCCTGGACTCCCTTGCAGCTAGTGTTCTCCCTAAAGATACATTTTACTGAACTGGAATTCTGAAAGGCCTCACTTTAGTGAGGCTAGCCAACTGCACATTGTGATTAACTCTAATGGCAATATCACCAACATCAGGTTTTATAATGATATTTCTGTCAACAAGCAGCTCAGAAATGTCTTTCATGACCCTTCTCACTGAAACTCACAAATGTAATTTCATCATAGGTTGTTTTTTTTTTCTTCTGTTTTTGAACTTAACAGTTTTTGTTTTGTTTTTGTGGTGCTGGGTATTGAATCTGGGTTCTTATACATTCTAAAGTATGGAATAACATATACACACAAAAATAAATGTTGTAGCTTGGAGAATTTGTTAATGGGAGAGATCTGGAGACTGTTTAATAGCATCATGAAACATAGGTAGCCAGGAACTGTATGACACCTACCCAATTTATTCCTTTGCTAGCAGTCTCAACAATTCTCTTGTTTAGAAAGAGATAGTATAAAAGAAATCACCAGCTTTGTCTCTGTCTGTAATTAGTATAATGGTTTGAATCTTAGACTTTCATGGGAATAGCAACTACTTACAGCATAGAAAAACACTGTGCCTTAAAATCATCCAATATAATTCCATTGGAAACCTGGTATACTTAGTTGTTTCTTGAGAACTTTCAGAGGAAATATCATAATGTTTGCAAGCCCTACTTAAGAATGTATTTCTTAGCTGGAAGTATGGCTCAGTGGTAGATTCACTGCCTAGAAAATATAGATCTCTGAGTTCAAACCATAGTAACACCAAAAAATTATTTCTTTACATGGTGCATAGCATATGTCAATTATTTGTTTTCTCAAACAGAGCTAAGAGTTGGGTGGCACCTTCAGTTTGCTTATTCAGATTTTATATGTCTGTGCTTCAAAGTCCCAGTTAAACTCATGAACTCAATCTTACATAGTTAAATTGTGCACAATCTGGGCTGGGAATATGGCTTAGTGGTAGAGTGCTTGCCTAGCATGCATGGAGCTCTGGGTTTGATTCCTTAGCACCACATACACAGAAAAGGCTGCAAGTGGCACTGTGGCTCAAATGGTAAGAGTGCTAGCCTTGAGCAAAAGAAGCTCAGGGACAGTGCCCAGGTCCTGAGTTCAAGCCCCAGGACTGGCCAAAAACAAAACGAAACAAAAATAACTATGGTAAAGAAAGGCATAAGCACAAGGAAAAGGACCGTGGGGGAAACTAGGTAACTGAGTCTGCTTACTATAGAAGGCCAAACCTTAAAAGGCAATAGGAAAAACTAAGCAAACTCTTTATTTACACTGAAAAACAAGCAAACTCTGGAGGAGCACGTTCGGGCGGGAGGCGGTGGAAGCAAGCCTCCAGCAAAGCCCCTGCCGCATTGCTCCCCCGCCCCACAGGCCTGCAGGGGTCTCATCGGGGGTCAGTCCGTCTCCACCTATCTCGAGTGTAGGGGTGGAACTGAGGGCGTCTCAGTGCTTTATCCCTAAGTCCCAGGCTAGTCTTGAGTGCTGAAATTCCTGCGTTCCAGTCCCTCTTGGCTCAGCAACTCTTACACAACCCATTTCTGGCTGGTGGATGACACCTTCTACCACTGGGCTCGGGCTTCTGCAGCGTTCTGACTAGCCTCCAAAACTTCCCCGGGTCAGACTTCCCACTCAGGATTTATGACATTATGATGCTGTAGCGCCAAGATCAGGTCCATTCGTTTTCCTTCCTGCCGGAGGCTAAGGGCAGACATGCTTTTGCCCCGGGGAACTAGCTTTTTCCCTGCTTCTCAAAGGACTGAATCTAGAGCCAGCTTGGCCCCAGGTCTAGGAGCCTCCAGCCACTCCTAGACTTCCGCAGCTAGCTGGAAGCCTCCCGGAGCGGCTCTGCGGTCCACCTGACGCCCCAGCCCCGCCCACATCCTGCCCAGGGGCGGGGCAACCCAACGGGCATGCTCACTATCCCGGCTCTGATTGGCCACGGAGGCGGAAGCATGCCGTGAGAACGTGTGGTTTCTCCCAGGTTGCACCGCGCTCCTGTCATGGCTGCCTCCTGGTGTTAGTATCCGCACATGGGCTGCTAGGCCTGTGGGGGTCCTCATGGTAGTTGTACCCGCTGGACTGCCGCGACGTGGGGCCCTCCTCCTCTGACTTTTAGTTCGAACCTGTGACGCCCTCCCTGCCGTGGCTGCGGCGGAGTCCGGGGTGATGTGGGCCCCGGAGATGGCTGTGCTGAGGGGCTTTGCCACTGAGGCCGAGCGGCAGCAATGGAAGCAGGAGGGGACGTCGGGACCAGGTGAGGGGACGTCGGGCCCGGGACGCCGGGCCAGGTGCGGGGACGCCGGGCCAGGTGCGGGGACGTCGGGCCAGGTGCGGGGACGTCGGGCCAGGTGCGGGGACGCCGGGCCAGGTGAGGGGACGCCGGGCCAGGTGAGGGGACGTCGGGCCAGGTGCGGGGACGTCGGGCCAGGTGCGGGGACGCCGGGCCAGGTGCGGGGACGCCGGGACCAGGTGAGGGGACGTCGGGACCAGGTGAGGGGACGCCGGGCCAGGTGCGGGGACGCCGGGCCAGATGCGGGGACGCCGGGACCAGGTGCGGGGACGCCGGGCCAGGTGAGGGGACGTCGGGCCAGGTGAGGGGACGCCGGGCCAGGTGCGGGGACGCCGGGACCAGGTGCGGGGACGCCGGGCCAGGTGAGGGGACGTCGGGCCAGGTGAGGGGACGCCGGGCCAGGTGCGGGGACGCCGGGACCAGGTGAGGGGACGCCGGGACCAGGTGAGGGGACGTCGGGCCAGGTGCGGGGACGTCGGGCCCGGGACGTCGAGCCAGGTGCGGGGACGTCGGGCCAGGTGAGGGGACGTCGGGCCAGGTGCGGGGACGTCGGGCCAGGTGAGGGGACGCCGGGCCAGATGAGGGGACGCCGGGCCAGGTGAGGGGACGTCGGGCCAGGTGAGGGGACGCCGGGCCAGGTGAGGGGACGCCGGGCCAGGTGAGGGGACGCCGGGCCAGGTGAGGGGACGCCGGGCCAGGTGCGGGGACGTCGGGACCAGGTGCGGGGACGTCGGGCCAGGTGCGGGGACGTCGGGACCAGGTGCGGGGACGTCGGGACCAGGTGAGGGGACGCCGGGCCAGGTGCGGGGACGCCGGGGCAGGTGCGGGGACGCCGGGACCAGGTGCGGGGACGCCGGGCCAGGTGAGGGGACGTCGGGCCAGGTGCGGGGACGCCGGGCCAGGTGAGGGGACGCCGGGCCAGGTGCGGGGACGCCGGGCCAGGTGAGGGGACGTCGGGACCAGGTGAGGGGACGTCGGGCCAGGTGCGGGGACGTCGGGCCCGGGACGTCGGGACCAGGTGAGGGGACGTCGGGCCAGGTGCGGGGACGTCGGGCCAGGTGAGGGGACGTCGGGACCAGGTGAGGGGACGTCGGGACCAGGTGAGGGGACGTCGGGCCAGGTGCGGGGACGCCGGGACCAGGCGAGGCGACGTCTGAGCCTGGTTCGGGGACATTGGGCCAGGTGAGAGGCGCACACCTGCCAGACTTCGGCCAACCTAGGAGCCGGGAAGTCCGAGGTTGCCCAGCGGATTCTCACGCTTTAGGTCCTGGTGCACACGATCCGCTCCAAAACCAACACATGGGTTTATTGATCTCTTGACACGGTGGGCGGGGCCTCAAGATAGGTGCAATTCTTTACTCCAAATTTCTCGCTGCCCAGGTTTGGTAATAACAGTGACAGTGAATAACAGTCAGTGTGTCTTCTTAGTCTTTAGCGTTTATTCAGTCATTCCATCCCGGTGATAGACTGTAAGGTAGATACTACTGTTAAGCCTGTTTTGCAGGTGGAGACATCCTGGAACAAATAGATGAGTTAAATACTTTATTCAAAATCACGGAGCCAGAAAAGCTGAAACGAGACAATAAAGATGTAACTCTTGTGAGCAGTGTACATTTACTGAGAGAGGGGGGAAGAAGGCACATTTGCTGCTGTCACATAGGCAGATCTGCTTGTGCGATTTAGGCTGCGTCCAGAAGACAAAACAGGAAGAGAGAGAGAGAGAGAGAAAGAGAGAGTGTGTGTGTGTGTGTGAAGACAAAACAGGAAGAGAGAGAGAGAGAGAGAGAGAGTGTGTGTGTGTGTGTGTGTGTGTGTAAGTAGCAGAAGAGGACTGGGAAGGTGGCACAGTGTTCAAGTGCTTGCCTTGCATGCATGAGGCCCTGGATTCTATTCCTCAGCACCACATAAACAGAAAAACCCAGAAGTGGAGCTGTGTCTCAAGTGGTAGAGGGCTCGCCTTGAGCTGAACAGCTGAGGGACAGCGCCCAGGCCCAGAGTTCAAGCCCCACAACTGACCAAAAAAAGAAAAAAGTAGCAGGAGGGAGAAAATTTGTTGTTGAATGTTTAGTTTATATCTGGTGGTTTGGAAAAGTTTTGTGAGAGGTCAAAAGAGGTGGTTTTATTGATTTGTTTGTTTATTTTTAGGTACTGACAAGTGAAGAAAAATTTAGCAGGAAAATGATAAGTGCAAAAAGTGTTAAAGTTGGAATGTGCCTGGGGACTATGAAGGAACAGTGGGTGACCCAGTGTTACATGGAGGAGTAGTAAGGGTTGGAGGAACCAGCTTGTGAAAAGTCCTAGGATCCTAAGGATATTTTTCTGCTGTCAGTTGGAGTCTCTGTGAATTTCCCAGCAAAAGGACAATAGGACTATTGTATTGATATCACATCTACATTGCTACTCATACTCAGGATAGGCCAGCCTCTAGTTCTAGGAGAGATAATGATTTCTAGAACGAGAGGACTCAGTGCTTTGTAATTAATATACAGTAAGCATTCTAAGTCCTTATACTTTTTTTGTACTTAAAATGGTGGTTAGCTAATGGATTATTCTTTAGAGTGTGAACAAATTGTTTTCAGCTTATTGGACTAATTTTTTGTGTTGCAGACAGTGGATCTTTCTTACAGTTGCTGTTAGAAGGGAGCTACGAGGCCATACTGTTACATTCAATCACTCAAAATATTGTAAATTCAACAATGGTAACTGAAGAAAAGATTGACAGCTGCCTGGAAAAACAGATAGTCACATTCCTGGATTGCTCTGCAGATTTGGATGAAACAGAAAGGTAGAATTTTAACTGAAAATTTCATAGAGAAATAGACTTTGAACACATATATTAGCACTTAGACATAGAGACATTAAATGTCACATGAAATGTGTAATTGTCAAGCATTAATGTAATCAGCACCTTCTAAGGCACTGATTTTAGCAATTGTTGAAAGGCCTGGACTCATCGTATACCAGTCATCTGTGTAAAGTCACTTGTCTAGAAGATCATCTCTGAAGATCATCATATGAAGACATAAAGGATAAAAGAATTTTCTATGAAACTGGCACATAATTAGTTGGTAACTGTGCATGCTCTGAGCTTAGGTCTGGTAGTGTTTTTTTTTTTTTGTCGGTCCTAGGGCCTGAACTCTGGGCCTGGGTGCTGTCCCTCAGCTCTTCCGCTCAAGGCTAGTGCTCTACCACTTGAGCCATAGAGCCACTTCCAATTTTCTAGTGGTTTATTGGAGATAAGAGTCTGCCTGGGCTAGCTTTGAACCATGATCCTCAGATCTCAGCCTCCTGAGTAGCTAGGATTATAAGTGTGAGCTACCAGGCACCTGGCTCTGGTAGGTTTTGACCTCAGACAAAATGTTAGATCTTGTCTCCTTTTGTCTTAAACACATATCCCTTTCATCTTGTTTTTTCTAGATAACTAAGTGATACGTCTACATAATTTTATTATGTTATAGATTGTCTTTGGGGAAATTAGGAAACTTTTTTTTTTTTTTGGTCAGTTGTGGGACTAGAACTCTGGGTCTGGGCAATTCAGCTCAAGGTGAGCGCTCTACCACTTGAGCCACAGTGCCACTTCCAGTTTTCTGGAAGGTTAATTGGAGATAAGAGTGGTTAATTGGAGAAAAGAGTCTCACAGATTTTCCCACATGGGCTGGCTTTGAACTGTGATCCTTAGATCTCAGCCTCCTGAGTAGCTAGGATTATAGGTGTGAGCCACCGGTGCCTGGCTAAGACTTCATGTTCTAATTGTAGAACCTTTGGTTTGCCTTCTTCCACTACAGTTTATGCAATTTTAAAGGGAAACTTGTACTGGAAAGTTACACAGCAGTGAAATCTAAGCCTTTCAAGGGCTTTGATTTTATTATTGGAGATCTGTTAATATGCCTTTTCCTTTTTTCACCTATCTATGGGATAATGTCACATTTAATGATCTTGAAAACCCACTCCATTTTATTTTACCATTATATGTAGGGGGAATGACTTTATTTAATCTTTCAACAAATAAACCAACTATTTAGTAGTTTGTTGAGGTTGTAAAAATGAGTAATGCACTGGGTGCTGGTGGCTCATGCCTGTAATCCTAGCTACTAAGGAGGCTGAGATCTGAGGATTGCAGTTCAGTCAGCCCAGGCAGAAAAGTCCTCATGAAGCAGGAAGTGATGCTGTGGTTGAAGTAGAGTGCTAGCCTTGAGCAAGAAGAGGCTTAGGGAGAAAGCCCAGGCTCTGAGTTCAAGCCCTACAACCAGAAAAAAAAAAAGAGTGCGATACGACCTGTATTTTATCAGTTGTGGGGTTTGAACTCTGGGCCAGGGCGCTGTCCCTCAGCTCTTGAGGGCTCTATCACTTGAGCCACAGTACCACTTCTGGTTTTCTAGTGGTTTATTAGAGATAAGAGTCTCATGGACTTTCCTGACTCTGTAGTGGCTTTGAACCACGATCCTCAGATCTCAGCCTCCTGAATAGCTAGTATTATAGGTGTGAGCCACTGGCACCCAGTGTCCTCTTCATTCTTGATTCTTATTTTGCTCTCTGATGTGTTTGCACTTTTCTAGCAGCTAGCTTTGTCAGGGAATTCTATCAAACTCATGCACAGAAATGCATTACTCATTAAGAGATGAGAACTCTCTTAAAAAGAATCAACTCAACTGGGGGCTGGGAAGGTGGCTCAGTGGTAGAGCCCTTGCCTTGCATGCATGAGGCCCTGGGTTCAATTCTTCAGGACCACATAAGCAGAAAAAAAAAAAAAAGGTGGAAGTGACACTGTGGCTCAAGTGGTAGAGTGCTAGCCTTGAGCTGAAGAGCTGAGGGACAGCGCCCAGGCCCAGAGTTCAGGCCCCACGACCGGACCCCACCCCATAAAAAGAATCAACTCATTTGACTCATTTTGGTGCATTTGCGATCTAAAGCATATTCTTAGTTAACCTTAAAGATTTTATTTTATACTTAGTGGTATAAAATAAACTTTATAAAATAAAAAAAATACAACTTTCTGCATATGCATTTTCTTCGCTGTTTTCTTCTATTTATAGATGGGTTCTTTGTTATTTTTCGCAAGTGCTACATATTCTTTGCTGTCAAGCCTGTTGCACTGATGACTTTATATTCTGAGTATCACAGGTCTTATTTTTTAATCCTAAAATTCTTTTTGAGGAAGTTCCTAGGAGTCATAGAAGAGAGTGTCACTTTCGCTTCAGAATGAAACTCTGGAATTCCCTAGCTATTAATTAATTAATTTATTCCCTGTTCATACACTAAGTGTAAGTTTGAAAAGCCACATATGGATCATAGTTGCAACATTGGACATTACAGACCTAACTTGTCTTAAATCCCAGATAGTATGAATTAATATTGCTTTCTTTTCCTTTTTCTTAATTTTTTCCAATTTAGATTTTTTTCACCTATTTTATTTATTTATTTTTTAAATTAACAATGCTTTCTATTTCTTAATAAATCTGAAATTAGCTGGGTGCTGGTGGCTCATGCCTGTAATCCTAGCTACTCTGGAGGCTGAGATGGGAGGATCACAGTTCAAAGTCAGTCTGGGCAGGAAAGCCTGTGAGACTCTTATCTCCAATTAAACCACCAGAAAACTGGAAGTGACTCTGTGACTCAAGTGGTAGAGCACTTGCCTTGAGCTGAAGAGCTCAGGGACAGCGCCCAGACCCAGAGTTCAAGTCCCACGACCGACAAAAAAAAAAATCTGAAATTAAATATTATGTTTGTGATTCTGGTTTATATCTTTTCTTAACTATTCTTTATGCAGACAGCAGCTGGTCTTCTTGCTTGGTGTGAGCAGTTTGCAGCTCTTCGTCCAGAGCAACTGGACTGGCCCTCCTACGTACTCATATCCTCAGGAGATTCTGTCTTCTCTCTTATTCCAGCAGTTCAGTGAGGTATGCTTCTCAACAATCCACATGCAGCCACTGTTGTATTAGTTATTCTTTGTTGTTGTTGTTGGTTGTCCTTAATCTCTGGGCGTTGGCACTGTCCCTGAGCTCTTTTTTGCTCACAGATAGCAATCTTCACTTTGAGCCATAGCACCACTTCTGGTTTTCTGGTGGTTAACTGGAGATGATGGGCTTTCCTGCATGGGTTGTGTTGAACTGTAATCCTCAGATCTTAACCTCCTGAATAACTAGGACTACAGGCAAGAGCCACTGATGCTGGCCAAGAAATAGTTTTTTTGAAGGGAGTTCTTTTCCCTCTGCTTTGTCTGAAGCCTCTGGAGGAAGCACACTAGAACTCAGTTGGTGGGATTGGGAGAAATGGGATAGACAGAAGAAAAGAGTGATCATGAATCAAGATTGATTATGATGAATTGTACTGCCTTTATACAACTACTTTTTTTTTTTTTGGTCCGGTCATGGGGCCTAAACTCTGGGCCTGGGCGCTGTCCCGCAGCTCTTCAGCTCAAGGCTAGCACTCTACCACTTGAGCCCCAGCACCAGCCACTTCCAGCTTTTTTTTTCTTTTTGCTTATGTGGTGCTGAGGAATCGAACCCAGGGCCTCATGCATGCAAGGCAAGCGCTCTACCACTGAGCCACCTTCCCAGCCCCTATACAACTACTTAAAAGATAATGAAAATATAACTTAAAATAAAAAGAACTCAGTGGGACTATGAGGATTATGTCTCAGAGGAAGGGACAACACAAGCAAGTGTCTATCTTTTCCCCTGTTGAGGCACCACTAGGAGTTAATGTGGTCACTCACTGATTGCCTTATTTGTTAGAGAAAGGGCTATCTGTCATCTGTGATGCTAGTACCTGGTTCCTGTGGATAAGAATTTCTTTTCCTTGGGGCTGGGAAGGTGGCTCAGTGGCTCATGCCTGTAATCCTATCTTTGAGCTTTGAGCTGAGGGACAGCGCTCAGGCCCAGAGTTCAGGCCCCATGACCGGACCCAAAAAAAAAAAAAAAAAAAAAGACCTATTATCAATAGCTATAGATTAGGATCTGTACAAGCTAAATAAACACTAAATGACTTAAAAAAAAAAGAATTTCTTTTCCCTATGTTGTGGCAGCTGTTAACATTCTTTCGTTCACATTTTATAAACATAGGTGCTTTATCCATGTGGAAAATCTCTGTTCAGAGAAAGAGACTTCTCAAAGGCATCCTGCTTTTGGAGCCATCCTTCTTTTCAGTTCTAATCTATGTTACATGAGTACTTAGATTACTTTATTTATTTTATTTTATTTTTTTATCATATTTTTCATATTTATGACTGGACTCCTGGTGAAGTTCTTGTGTTTGTTCCTCATTTACCCAGGGTTAGACTGGGTCTTACTCTTTTTTGTTGTTGTTGTTGGTCGTGGGGCCTGAACTCTGGGCCTGGGTGCTGTCCATCAGCTCTTCAGCTCAAGGCAAGCACTCTACCTTTTGAGCCACTGTGTCACTTCCGGTTTTCAGATGATTATTTGGAGATAAGAGTATGATGGTACTCTTGGGGCTGGTTTTGAACTGTGATGCTCAGATCTTAGCTTCCTGAGTACCTAAGATTATAGATGTGAGCCACCAGGGCCTGGCTGGGTCTTGCTCTTGTAGGTCAGACTGACCTCAAATTTATGATTCTTCGGCTTGGCACTTGATATATTAGACTTGGTTGATGATTTGGCTTGATGGCATTTGTGGAGTGGAGACAGGCTTTATAACAATCTTTGCCATCCAGTGAGGCATAAGTGAAATGTAGTCTAAATTCTGTTGCAGACTAGTTAATGATATGGTAATTTTATTGTAGGTAAATCTATGAAGTGATGGGACTAGTTCGTTGCTAGCATTTTCTTCCCTATTTCTTTTTTTAATTGTTACTATAAAAGTGATGTACAGAGGGATTGTAATTACATAAGTCAGGTAATGAGTACATTTCTTTTTGGACAGTGTCACCCTTTCCCTTGTACTCGTGGTTTTTCCCTACCATTTCCACTCATAGGTTGTGTAGTTCACTTTCAACATAGTGTCTAGTGAGTACCACTGCTGGATTTGTTCCCCCTTTGTCCCTCCATTTTTGTGTTCCCCATTACCCTCTCAAAGACAGATAAACAAACAAACAAGACAAAATAAAAGAAAACAAAAACAACATCAAAGAAAAAACCTCTTGTTTTCATATCCTGGAGTTCATTTCAATAAATTTATTTTATATGATCAGAGGCACATAAGCATTTCACCTTTGTGTTCCTACCCTAAGTATTTCCCTATTTCTTCAGTTCAGTTTTTTGTTGTTTTTGCCCTGAGACATTTTACTATTTCCATGTTACTTGGTGTTGGACTTGAACTTCTAGGCTCAAGTGATCCTGCCTTAGCTGGGACTGCTAATGGGTATCACTGTAGCTGGCTCATCTTTGCAATTGTTTACTCTGAGATTGAGTCTCTTGCTTCTGTAAAGTTGGAGCTTCCTCTTTTACAGGATAGGCTTGATTTGTGGATTTCTGAGGGCATTTGAAATATTATGATTGTGTGCTGTTAGTTGCTCTGTCATAATCTAGTGTTCTTCTTTCCGAGCCGAATTGGCTGGAAATTGTGTGTGTGTGTGTGTGTGTGTGTGTGTGTGTGTGTGTGTGTGTGTGTGTGTGTGTGTGTGTGTGTGTGTGTGTGTGTGTGTGTGTGTGTGTGTGTGTGTGTGTGTGTGTGTGTGTGTGTGTGTGTGTGTGTGTGTGTGTGTGGTCATACAGAGATTTGAACTCAGGGCCTTGAACTTGATAGTCAGGTGTTCTACCACTTGAACCATGTCCTTAACCTATATATATTTATAAAACATAAAACACAGAAAGATGAATCCTTGTTAAATTCTGTCATAGTAATTTACAAATCTTTTTTTAGGTCAAAGAACTAGATACAGTTGTCCTGAGTCTGCTCATTCTAGATGGTGAATCAATTTACAGCCTGACTTCAGTGCCTCTACTGCTGTTACTAGCTCGCGTTATCTTAGTGAATGTAAGACACAAGCTGACAGCTATCCAGGTAAGGGAAAAGGTCCATGAGATCTATATCCTTGAGTGGCTCTTGTGCCTGTTAGCATAGATTGTAACTGAAACTGACGATGTCTTGGCATATTTTGGCTTATGTTTTGACTGTGATAGGGCTTCAGCTCAGAGTCTCCTGCTTGCTAGACAAAGGCTGTGCCACTTGATTATTCTTGAGTTCTTTCAAAGATTTTAAAATGCAAAATGTGTTTTTGGGTTTGGGTGCCACACCCATCTACAGACACAGTATTCTTTCTGCCTTCCTTCCTTCCTTCCTTTCTTTCTTTCTTTCTCTTTCTTTCTTTCTTTCTCTTTCTTTGGCCAGTCCTAGGGCTTGGGCACTGTCCTTTAGCTTCTTTTTGCTCAAGTCTAGCACACTACCACTTGTGCCACAGTGCCAATTCTTCTGTTTATGTGGTACTGAGGAATCAAATTCAGGGCTTCATGCATGCTAGGCAAGCACTCTATGACTAAGCCACATTCCCAGTTTCCAGTATTTCCAAAGGTAAAATTATAGGCACAGTTTGTACTGAATAGGGGTTTACTTTCCAAAGCATTTAAGCTTACACCCTGGATTATTCTAAAGAGAAGATAGTTGGGCATTGGTGGCTCATTCATGTAATTCTAGCAGGTTGGAGGATCCCAGTTCTAATCCAGCCTGGTCAGGAAAGTCTGTGAGACTTATCTCCAATTAGCCACCAAAAAGAGAGAAGTGGAGCTATGATTCAAGGCAGAGCCCTAATCTTAAGGAAAAAAGCTAGGGACAGTGCCCAGGCCTTGAGTTGAAGCCTCAAGACCAGCACCATAAAAAGAAAAAAGAAAAAGGAAAGAAAAAGAAAAGAGGAGTTAGGAAAGGAAGTCTCTGATGGCAACTTTCATGAGAACCAGAATTAGTTGTATTACAATGACTTTTTTCTTTTAAAAAAAATGGTTATTATAAAGATTATTATATACAGGGGGTTACAGTTACATAAGTCCAGTAATGAGAACATGTCTTTTTGGACAGTATTACCCCTTCTCTCGCTCTCTTCCCAGTTTTTCCCTTCGGTCATCACCCATAAGTCATAATACAAAGATTTTGAATAGATGGATTATCACATTTCTTAGCAAGTGTAAGGTGATCTTCAAATGTCAGTAGTTTGAATAAAAGCATTTTTTCCGGTGCTGATCTGAGTTGGATGGCCTTACAGATCATCCCCGTGCTCTAACGAAGGTAAAAGCTTAGGAGGCTGCACAATGGCAGCCTTTTTTGCTTTGTATAATGAGTGAGTAAACCCATTTTGGGTTTTGTCAGTTGAAAACTTGTATTAGGAATATATTAAGCATAATTTGAAAAATCTTAACAACTTCAGAGGATTAGTAAACATGATGAATGCTGCTGGTAGGCATTGTGAGGTGTTACTTCATCTTTTGCCAGATACTAAACTACTTTGACTTCTGCTTAAAAGCTTGTTTTCTTGAAATTTATCATGATGCAAAAGCCATTCTGTGATGACATTTTGCCTTTCGGTGGAAACATTCTGTTATAATTTTTTTCCTTCGTGTCTTTGCTTATCCTCATTTTAATGATGCTATTTAAAATGAAGATAAAATGTTAGTAAAACAGCATCACATACTAATTGAAGTTAATTTTAACCTTTGAAAATACCAGTTTTATTTTCAGTGCTGGGGAATTGAACCCATCTAAAGCATGCTAGGCAAGTGCCTAAGCTAGACCTTTGGCTTCATTTTAAATTGATTTTTATTTTACCTGGGTGCCGGTGGCTCACACCTATAATCCTAGCTATTCAGGAGGCTGAGATCTAAGGGTCATGGTACAAAGCCAGCCTGGGTAGGAAAGTCCATGAGACTGTTATTTCCAGTTAACCATCAGAAAACCAGAAGTAGAGCTGTGGCTCAAAATGCAAAAAAAGCTCAAAGATAGAGCCCAGGCCTTGAGTTTAAGTCCATGACTGACCTCCCCCCAACCCATTGATTTTTTGTGTGTGTATGTGGTATGATTCCTAAAGTAATATATTGTGTTGTCTATGAATTTATTATTTTGTAGGACTAGAGATAATGCTAGTAACATATACATGCTGAGTAAAATGTTCATCTTTCAAAGCAAACTGCAGTTCTCACTCTGTTGCTTTATAGCTGTGAGAACTTATGATAGATGATTTTCAGAATATCAACTTCCTTATTTATACTGTAGGGTGAATCAGTACATTGATGGGGTTACTTTGACCACCATACGCATTCTTGACCAGCGTGACTTCTCACTCAGACTTTTCTGTAACCAGGCTTAGAATCAGGAGAGAAAGTTGAGAAGTTGGATAAAATAAGATTTTTTACGAATACCTCAATGTTTCTATAAAGCAGTTCTTAACAAGTGGAAAAGGGTACTTATATTGTCTAGTGAAGGAATGGGCTGATTTTTATGCTAGCTCTATAGTCTCCTCCCCCATAGAAAGCTTTTGGCTCAATAATTCAAATTTATAGGTCATAGGTCATTTTTTAAAAGAGTACAGCCTCTTATGTGATATATTTCCTTAAAAGGGTAATCTTTTCCACTGGAGCCATCTAAAGTCCCTAGCAAAGCATAGAATAAGCTGCCAGACCTGACTCACTTGTTGCTGATGGCAGATAAGGGTAGATAACTAAAACAGAGACTAACTTTACTAGCCTTAGTGAAAAGAAGGACCCTTCTAGGAACAAAATAAAAAATGACTGGAAGCTGGGTGCTGGTGGCTCATGCCTGTTATCCTAGCTCTTTTTTTTTTTTTTTTGGTCCGGTCGTGGGGCCTGAACTCTGGGCCTGGGCGCTGTCCCTCAGCTCTTCAGCTCAAGGCTAGCACTCTACCACTTGAGCCACAGCGCCACTTCCGGCTTTTTTCTTTTTGCTTATGTGGTGCTGAGGAATCGAACCCAGGGCCTCAGGCATGCAAGGCAAGCGCTCTACCACTGAGCCACCTTTCCAGCCCCATATCTTAGCTTTTTAGGAGGGTGAGACCTGAGGATCACAGTTTGAAGCCAGCCTGAGCAAGAAGGTCCAGGAGACTCTTTTCTCCAATTAACCACCACCAAGCTGGAAGTGGAGCTGTGGTTCAAGTGGTAAAGCTGTGGCCTTGAGCAAAACAGCATAGGGATAGCACCTAAGCCCTGAGTTCAAGCTCCAGGACTGGTACATACACAAACAAGACTCGACATGTCTTTTATATTAGCTAATTGTGCCTTTCCTTAATTGGATTGAGGAAACAATAACAATTACAGTTAAACTCATTTGTATTTGCATTCTGGTTCTAGCAGTTGTGGGTAGCAATTGAGGGACCCTCTTACTCAAGTGAAAATGGAGGTCATGTAAAACAATTCTTGTAGTAACAAGGTGTGTACCTCTCTCTTTCTCTTATACCCATATAACACATATGAGCCACTGGTGCTTGGCTAGGCATGATGTATTACTAGTAGGTATTATTGTTAAAAAAGGAAAATTAATTTCTTGTATCTTTATGTAATATTCAGAAATACTCATTTTTCATACTTAAGTAAACCAATAAAAATACCTATTATATCTTGTACATATATAAACGTGTAGAGGAAAGTATCAACCTTTGGCATGGATGTTTTTAGAGGAAGAGACTGGCATTGGGTCAGTGGAAGAGACTTGCCCTCTTCACTATATTTGCTTCTATACTGGCCTATAATTCTCTCTCTCTCTCTCTCTCTTTCTCTCTCTCTCTCAAGAATGTGTTGATAGGTAAGAACAAGCATCAAAGAATAAAAGAAAATGCCATATGATATGCTCAGTCTATGTATCAGTCACCCCAGTGTATAAAATTCAGTCTCTACTGTCAAAAATGTGTGTTCCAGGTAGAGTGAGACATTGGAAACACTAGTTCTGTGCCATGTGGTAGAAGTGAGAGATCACGGTGCACTCCATTAGTAGCAGGCTTCATTGATGAGCTTTCCTGAGGGTGTGGAAGGAATCTGTCTAGTTTTGGGGAGTATCTGATTCTAAAGTGTTTCTTGCTCTGAGCGGACATATAGATGAAGAAGACTGGAGTTCTTGTCCTGTTGGGTCAGTACAGAGCATTGTGTTTACAAGGGAACTGCAGGCAAGTGCACAGTCACCTACACCAGAGCTCTCTCTCTCTCTCTCTTTTTGGTACCAGTTCTGGGGCTTGAAGTCAGGACCTAGGTCTTGTACCTTACCTAGCTTTTTCACTTAGGGTTGGTGCTCTGTCACTTTAGCCACAGCTTCACTCCTAGCTTTTTTTTTTTTTTTAATACTTTTTTTAAATTTTATTTTATTGTAAAGCTACTATACAGAGGGTTACAGTTACATGAGTGAGGTAATGAGTACACTTCCTCTTGAACATTGTTACCCCCTCCATTGTTTTCCCCCTGCCATCCCCTCCCTCCCTCCCTTCCCCGAGGTTCTTTTTTTTTTGATTGTGATTAAATGATTACATAATTTCAAAGTCACAAGTTCATTCTAACTTCCCTGGAGCAAATTGTCTACCACAGTCTGTAATATATAACAGTGTTCACATGTTATATACCATGTTTGTGATCAGCAGCATGGGGATATTTAGTAGTGGTTCAACCAGATGAGCGGGAGTTCTTTGTTTCTTAAGTCCTGTTAGTTTTGTCGTATCACCTAACCTTTTGGATTTATCAGGGAGACCATGTACCGTTTGTCTCTTCGTTCTTGGCTTACCTCGCTCAACATGATTCCTTCTAGCTCCATCCATTTCCCTGCAAATGCCATTATTTTGTCATTTCTAATGGCTGCATAATATTCCATTGTGTATAGATACCACAATTTTTGGATCCATTCATCTGTGGTGGGGCATCTAGGTTGTTTCCATATCCTAGCTATTGCGAACAGTGCTGCAATAAACATGGAGGTGCACGTGTCCTTGTATATTGGTTCCTGTTGTTCAGGGTAGATGCCTAGAAGTGGTATGACTGGGTCGTAAGGGAGGTCAATCTTTAGCTTTCTAAGGACCCTCCAGACTGCTTTCCAAAGTGGTTGTATAAGTGTACATTCCCACCAGCAGTGTAATAGGGTTCCTCTTTCTCCACATCCCCTCCAGCATTTGTCGTTGGCTGATTTGTGGATGTGGGACATTCTGACTGGGGTAAGGTGGTATCTCAGGGTTGTCTTTATTTGCATTTCCTTCACCACCAGGGATGATGAACATTTCCTCATGTGTTTCTTTGCCATTTTTATTTCTTCATTTGAGAAGTCCCTCTTTAGTTCCCTTGCCCATTTAGTAATTGGTTTGTTAGGTTTGGGAGGGATTAGTTTCTTGAGTTCCCTGTATATACAGGATGTTAACCCCTTGTCTGATATATTGCTGGTAAATATTTTTTCCCAATTAGTTGGTTGTCTTTCTAGCTTAGTTGCGATAGATTTAGCTGTGCAGAAGCTTTTTATTTTAAGGTAGTCCCATTTGTCGAGTCTCTCTCCAACTTGTTGTGACCCTGGGACTCTGTTCAGGAAGTTCCTTCCTGTGCCTATTAGTTCAAGTGTCTCTCCTACTCTGTCCTGCAGTAGTTTCAGAGATTCAGGTTTAATGTTAAGGTCTTTAATCCATTTTGAGTTGATGTTGGTGCATGGTGATAGGCTGGGGTCCACTTTTAGTTTTCTGCATGTGGCTGCCCAGTTTTCCCAGCACCAGCGGTTGAAGAGGCTGTGTTTCTTCCATTGTATGTCTTTGGCTCCTTTGTCGAATATCAGCTGGCTGTAGGCCTGTGGATTTATATCTGGATCTTCTATTCTGTTCCATTGGTCTTCGGGTCTGTTTTTGTGCCAGTACCATGCTGTCTTTGTGATTATAGCTCTGTAGTAGAGTTTGAAGTTCGGCATGGATAGCCCTCCCATATTGTCTTTATCCCCTAGAATTGTTTTGGCTATTATAGGTCTTTTGTTGTTCCATATAAATTTTTGGACTGTTTTCTGTATTTCAGTGATGTACGTCATTGGGATTTTAATAGGAATGGCATTGAATTTGTATATTAGTTTTGGAAGTATCACCATCTTTACTATATTAAGTCGGCCTATCCAGGAGCATGGGAGGTCTTTCCATTTCCTAGTGTCTTCTGCAATTTCTTTCTTTAACTTTTTATAGTTCTCACACTCCTAGCTTTTTAGTGATTAATTGGAGATACGAATCTCATGGATTTCCTTGCCCTGACTGGCTTCTAGCCATGATCCTTAACTCTCAGCTTCCTGAGTAGCAAGGATTACAGCCATGAGCCTCTGGCACCTACGCAGCACTGGAATTCTTGTGGAACGTCTCATAGAGGAGTTAGAATTGGGCTATGGTGGTGATGGTCTGCCACAGGAGAGATAATAAGTTTGAAAGGACATTAGAAAGCCCAATTGTCTAACAAGGAAAGAATACAGGCTCTGAGAAAATAGATGTAAAGAGTAGATTTAGGTACTATTGAAACATAGTAGTATATGGAAAAGATTATTTACAGTAAATCTTGAGTGTAAAAAGGCTAAAAATTAGTGTAAATGTAGCCTGTATTTTCTAAAGTGTCCTTTAATCTCAGCTTGTCTGTTTTGTTTTGTTTTTTTTTCCTAGAGCTTGCCTTGGTGGACTTTGAGATGTGTGAGTGTCCACCAGCAGTTGCTTGAGGAGCGCTCACCTCAGCTCTTTGTTCTTGCTGAGAACTGCATTGACCAAGGTATGTTTTCCTTTAATGTGAGGTGTGATTTCATTCTAATTTGTTGCCAACACATTCTTTTTTAGTTTTTTATTTACTTAAATTATTTTTTTGTCAGTTGTGGACCTTGAACTTTGGGCCTGGGCGCTGTCACTCAGCTCTTCAGCTCAAGGCCAGTGCTCTACCACTTGAGCCACAGCACCACTTATGGTTTTTCTAGTGGTTAATTGGAGACAAGAGTTTCATGGATTTTCCTGCCCGAGTTGGCTTTGAACTGCTATCCTCATATCTCAGCCTCCTGAGTAGCTAGGATAATAGACGTGAGCCACCAGAGCCTGGCTTTTTGTTTTTGTTTTTGTTTTTTTGACAAGTACTGATATTTTATTTGAAGTTGTTTTTATTTCTTCTTCTTTTTTTAAAATTTGGAATATCACACATTTTTAGGTGGTAGCAGTAATATCTCTTAAGTGAAAAGTAGAGGATGGCCCATCTGTTTTTTCTGCAAAAAGTCTTTGATTTAATACTTTTTGCTTGCAGAAGATTATTTATTATTTTTCTGATCCTGGCTAGAAATCAGTGCATGGGCACTGTCCCTGAGCCTCTTTGTGCTCAAGGCTAGTACTCTACCACTTCAGCCACAGCACTACTTCTGTTTTTTTCTGAATAGTTTGTCGGAGATAAGAGTCTCATGCTCTTTCCTGTCCAGGCTAGCTTTGAACTGTGATCCTCATATCTCAGCCTCTTGAATAGGTAGGATTATAGAAGTGAGCTACTGGTGCCTGGTGGCAAAATATTTTTATGAACGGGTTTTGCCAATTGACCCATGTATATTTCACTTAAACTGGACACTGTTCTAGGTTGTGGTATCTTTTACAGGTATCTGAGAAATTAGTTCTTCATCTCAATAATGGCATCTGTCTGGGTTAAATTTTGACCAAAGATTTTCAAAAGTATAATAGTATAGAAGTTATAGGAAAATTCATCCTTTATTAAAACTATCCAACTTTGAAAGTGAAGGAAGACGTGACATTATCCAAAAGAGAAATGTACGCATTACCTGAATTATGAAGAGATAACTCCTTTGTGCGACACCTTAATAACAATAAAAATATTAATAATAATAAAAACAAAAGAGCTGGGCACTGGTGGCTCACGTCTGTAATCTTAGCTACTGAAGAGGCTGAGCTCTGGGGATTGGGGTTTGAAGCCAGCTCAGGCAGGAAAATCTGTGAACTCTTATCTCCAATTAACCCCAGAGAACTAGAAGTGGAGCTGTGGCTCAAAGTGGTAGAACACTAATCTTAAATGAAAAAGCTCAAGGACAATGCCCAGACCCTGAGTTCAAGCCTCATAACCAGCAACAACAACAAAAAAAGACTTTTTGGGGATTGCAGAGAGCCCCACAAAAACCAAAAAAATCTATATTCAACCTTGACACATCACTTTTTTGTTGTTATTATTGTTGGTTGTGGGGTCTGAACTCTGGGCCTAGGCACTGTCCCTCAGCTCTTCAGCTCAAGGCTAGCGCTGTACCACTTGAGCCACAGTGCCACTTCTGACTTTTTCTGCTTAGTGTGGTGTTGAAGAATCGAACCCAGGGCCTCATGCATGCAAGGCAAGCACTCTACCACTGAGCCACCTTCCCAGCCCTGACTCTTCTCTTAATAGTGTCATATAGGGATGATATTCTTTTCAAAATGAAAGATGAAGTAGAACTTGAAGAAAATTAAGGCTTGATACCCTAGTTAGCAGTACATATTGACTTGATTCTGGTTTAGTTAAATAAAAAAAACTGTGAACAAAATCCTCTCCCCTTTATATTATATCACTGGTTTTTGAAATGAAGAGAGAACTACCCTGTTAATCTACAGTACAAGGGGATGAGCTTCTTGTTCATGAAATTGGGTAAAGTTTGGGAAGCCAGGAATGAGGTGAGTGTTATTGATCTTAATGAGAAGCAGAAATGATCTCCCAAAGGATGAAGAAAGCATTTAGTGGAGTCTGGTCCACTATTTAATTTTATGAAGAGGCTGTTACATTATACTGATTGGATCTTACATAATTACCTATACTTCATTATATTTTAATGGAAAATTAATAGTTGAGGAAACTAACGTAAATCTGTACTTGCAGCCATGTCTTTACCACATCTTAGTGGCTAATCTTAATACCATGGTCCCTACAAATTAAGGAAAGAAAACTTTCATCTTTATGTGTCTTGTTACAAGGTAGGAAGCAGCTAGTATGCTTCAAAGAAATCTAAGAGTTAAAATTAGGTCCTAAAACAGAAATGGTTAACCTAGATATGTGGAAAATTTGACTCTTGAGTGACTCATTCCCCCAGGGGCCTCCTGTCTTTCGTGCAGTGTATTTCAGGAGATCCTTTACTTTGCCACGAGACTAGAATTTTTTTTTTTATGTTGCTCTTCTGGGCTAATCAACTGCATTTTTCATTTTATCTGGTCATAAATTGGTGACTAGATATAATTAGACATTTTGGCTCTGACTAAATAGGTCAGTAGATAGTATTTAACTGTAGTATTTCATAAACACTTTTATTGTAAAAATGTTTTGTTCTGGGATATGACCCAAATGATGACCAGTTATAGCTGAAATACTGCTCAATGTCCAGAGGAGGATATTTTATGAAGAGGGCCTCAAAGGATCATCAAAACATTGGTAGGAGTTTGGGTTTTTTTCAGCCTATGAGACACAAGCAAAGGATTTTACGAACAACTGTGCTCATCATATTCTTATATAGAATGTCAGCACAACTTTGCTGGGTGTTTCCTTATCTGAAAGAAGCATATTAGGATCTTGAAAACTGTGTTCCTGGGGCTGGGAATGTGGTTCAGTGGTAGAGTGCTTGCCTAGCATCCATGAAGCCCTGGGTTCACTTCCTCAGTACCACATACACAGAAAAAGCTAGAAGTAACACTATGGTTCAAGAGGTAGAGTGCTAGCCTTGAGCATAAAGAAGCTCAGGGACAGTGTTCAGGCCCAGAGTTCAAATCCTAGGACTGGCAAAAACAAAACAAAGAACCCCCCCCAAGACAACAAACAACCCCCCCCCCCAAAAAAAAAAAAAAAACAAACCAAAAAACAAGAAACCCTGTGTTCCTAGGCACAGACACTGAATGAAACCACAGTTCTCTACAGACAACTTATGGAGTCACAGCAGCTTATTTTGGGGTATGATACTGAAAATGCTTTCCATACAATACATGAGATGGAATATAGCAGTTTAAGTATTTAGATGGGAATTCATGAAGTTACTTTCCAGAGAAAAAAGGATAAAATATTTTGTCAGCAAGTTCTGCTAGGACATCTATAGGCAGCTGTGTGACTTAGGTTGGATTGTTTCCACATCGAAAGAGATGTTCAAGAGATGAGTCTCTTGGTGACTGGTGAATACATTGATTTTTTTCCCCCTATGAACTTGATACTTTGGAATGAATGTATGTCCTAAATATGATTATCCATAATTATAATTGTCCATGGGAATTTCATTTTAACATAGAATTAAAACAGTCTCATGAGATTTGGTTTTAGCATATATTTTAAATATACTGGTTGATATTTTGATCCAGGAGATCATGAGTTTTAATTTCATAGAGAATCTATAGATTTATTAAAATAATAAATACCTATTGTGTCAGTGTGCTCTCCTTTGCTTTAAACTTTGAGTCATCTAAAGGTTATATATATGCTCAGAGTCAACTCACTGTCTTCCATGTTTCTGTTTATCTAGCCAGTTCTTAAATCTTACCAGTTTTTCCCTGAGGGTTCCATATCTATCTCTCTTTTTCAAGTTTTATCCTGGTCTGAAATCTTTGTTCTGAGAAGGTTCTTTAAAGATCATCTTGTCTAGCTGTGTCATTTGACAGAGAATCAAGACTCAGAAATTGCCCAAGTGCCAGAACTATGACCTGGAGTTTCCAAGTTCTGTTCTCTATTTCCATGACCTTTCCTCAAGCTGGTCAGCAGGGCAGCATTTGAGTAGCTAGTGGTGATAATTCAGCTAACACTTCAGTGATGTGTGTGCTACATCCAGCACTGTTCCATATTGGCTAGCTTAATGTTCACATCCATTCTGAGAGGAACAGGATGTGGCAGTAAAATGTGCTTTTTATTTTTAGTTATTATTAATTTTATTATTTTGGGGGGGTCAATCCTGGGGCTTGAACTCAGGGTCTGTACTTGAGATTCTTTTGCTTAAGGCTAGCACTCTACCACTTGAGCCACAGCACCACATCAGCTGTTTATGTTGATGTGGTAGTGAGAAATGGATCCTGGGACTTCATGCATGCTAGACAAGCACTGTACCTACCACTAAGCCATATCCCCAATCCCTAGAATGTGCTTTTTAAAAACAGTGTTTTTGAAGTCCAGTTAATGACTGAGATTTCAGGTGTACAGTTGAAGACATTTGCATATTGTATGCAAATTATAATCAAGGTAGTGAACAGGACATCACATATTAATGTTTGGCTTTTAGTTCCAGCCTTGTTGCTGACTCCTCTGTACTCTCTAGTAGCTGATTTGGCTTGCAAATAAAGATTACTTCCTTTTAAAATGATTGTTGAATCCTTTCCCGATATAAAGTAATGTGAATTTTGTGTGTGCGTATATGGCTTTAATATCTCATTGATCTTAATGCTGGTCTCTCAGAAGCTACTTCTAAGAGGTAGCTCTTCTTTTCCTGGACACTTTGATTAGGAGCTTATACCATTGCTAGACTCATGATCCTACAAAGTGCTTTGTTAGAGAACTTGAAAAGGTTATATTGTAATGCTCTTAGTGTGATTTGGAATTCTAATAGCTTAGAATGCCTAGAGCAGAATGTGAGAGTAAAAGTTTCATGGTAGGGTTTTACCAAGTTCTGTCTATCTTTCAAGGCACTAGCTTTCTGACTGGGCTCTATAACTATCCCAGATTTGTGAATTTCCTCTTTTCTACTTAGTCACTCACAATTTGGAATCAGATTAACTGTATATGGAATACTAATTGTTATCTTCAATTCATAGCTGCTTAATTCTCCACCCCATTTTATTTTATTTTTTTGTTCAGTTGTGGGCCTTCAACTCTGGGCCTGGGCGCTGTCCCTCAGCTCTTCAGCTCAAGGCTAGTGCTCTATCACTTGAGCCACAGCGCCACTTCTGGGTTTCTGGTGGTTTATTAGAGATAAGAGTTTCTCAGCCTTTCTTGCCTGGGCTGGTTTTGAACCATGATCCTCAGATCTCAGCTTCCTGAATAGCTAGGATTACAAGTATGAGCTACCAGCTTTTATTTTTGTTGGTTGTGGAGTTTAAACTCAGGGCTTGGACACTGTCCCTAAGCCTCTTTTTGCTCAAGGCTAGCTCTCTACCAGTTGAGCCACAGTGCCATCCCTGGTTTTTTGAGTGGTTAATTGGAGATAAGAGTCTTATAGAGACTTGGCTGCCTGGGCTGGCTCCAAACCATGATCCTCAGATCTCAGCCTCCTTAGATGCTAGAATTACAGGCGTGAGCTGCCAGCACCTGGCTTAGATGTTGCTGTGGATCTAGCATGATTCTAAGAATATATAGTAACTCTGAAGATAGCGACTAAAGGTTATAAGGATGGCAGAGAGGGAAGCACTTGGGAAGCACTTTACCTTGTCCTCTGGGTGTAGCAGACCTCTCTCTGTTTTATCCTTATGCTGAAGGCCTGTCTTTGTGTCTCAGCTTTAAAGGTAGGTCTCCCACTAGGTTGCTTACTGTGAGTGCACCTAGGCCTCATCTGTTGATTTTGGAGCTCCTGGCAGCTGTCAGAATAGAGCTGTAAGGTCTCTGGGTTTGGTTGTTAGCTTCACAGAAACAGAAGAATAACAGCTTCATGCAAGCTTACTTCCTAAGGCTGCAGTTCTCACCACGTTTTTGTTCTCTGAGACTTATATTTGTTCCCTATACAATCATGTACAGTATATTAAGAAGATAAAAATAAATAAAGCTAACTTTTTAGGTGTTGTTATTGAAAGAGAACAATTGACCATGTTGGTGGAATCTAAACACTAGCTAGCTCTTTAAAATTACCAGAATCTGCTGGGCACTGGTGGCTCATGCCTGTAACCCTAACTACTCTGGAGGCTGAGGTCTGAGGATTGCAATTCAAAACAGCCCAGGCATGAAAGTCCGTGAGACTTACCTCCAATTAACCATCAGAAAACTGGAAGTAGCACTGTGGCTCAAAGTGGTAGAGCGCAAGCCTGTAACAGCACCCAGGCCTTGTGTTCTTGTGTTCAAATCCCACGACCAATTAAAAAAAAATACAGATATTTGTAGATATACCAGGATCTATTCTTTCTTTCTCTCCCTACCTCTCTCCCCCTCCTTTCCCCCCTCCCCCGCCTGCTTTCTTTGCCAGTTCTGGGGCTTAAACACAGGGCCTGTGGACAGTCTCTGAACTTCTTTTGCTCAAGTCTAGCACTCTACCACTTGAGCCACAGCGCCATTTCTGGCTTTTTCTGTTTATGTGGTACTGAGGAATGGAACCCAGGGCTTCATGCATGCTAGGCAAGCACTCTAACACTGAGTTACATTCCCAGCTATCTTATTTTTTTAAACTAGCAATATTTGGTACCTGAAAGAGAAGATACAGAAGTAGAAATTAAGTTGTAGTTATACATACATACACATTTAGCTGGCGAGCGCTCTACCACTGAGCCACCTTCCCAGCCCAAGCTGGATAGTAAGCTGGATATGTGACCTATTTTATGTCATTAGGACAGTTTAAATTTGGTAATCTTCCCTAGACTTGTGTACATTAATGCAGAAATGGCCTTTCTGTTTTAATTGAGAGAAGTTTTTTTTAAAAAAAACAACTTGGCCAAACTTCATTTCTCTTGATCTTTGCATTTAGAAACTTTTGGGATCATTACTATCATTGACAATAAAACAAAATTGTATCACTTACTATTTGTGCTCAGACCATAGAAGGCTGTTATATTTCTGACTAGAGTCAAGAATAATAGGCAGGACAAAGGAAAAGAGTTGATAAAAGGAGACCTACACTAAGAGCAATAAGTGTTATCAGGCCCAGCTGTTCCTGAGTCTGGTTTGCATGATGAAATGATCTGAAGTGTCTTCACAGTGAGAAGTTTGTATTTGGGTTCCTGTGTGTCTTTTGTGGTAAATTATGTGCATCTAGGCTTAATCCCTTCATCTCAGCCCAGGAAATCTCTCAAAGGGCTGGGAGTATAGAAAAATACCATGTTGGGTTTTCAGAGCTATGTTAATTTAGCAACAGTTGGCCCCAGCATCAGGTAGAGTAGACATTTAGCACAGAAAACGTATCTTTTACCTTGACTGATAAGGAAATGACATTCCATTTTGGACATTGTAAGTGCATTCCCATTTCATGTGCACTTTTTTTTTTTTGTTTTTGGTTGGTTGTGAGGCTTGAACTCTGGGCCTGGGTGCTGTGCTTGAGCTCTTCAGCTCAAGGCCAGTGCTCTACCACTTGAGCCACAGTGCCACTTCGGGTTTTCTGGTGGTTAATTGGAGATAAGTCACATGGACTTTTCTGCCTGGGCTGGCTTTGAACCTCCATCCTCAGATCTCAGCCTCCTGAGTAGCTAGGATTACAGGCATGAGCCACCAGTGCCCAGTCCCTTTATTATTATGTTTTATTGTTATTATTATTTTGTATATATGCTACATTATTATTGTATAGTGTATATATGTCTATATACACTACATATTTATATATATATGTTTATATGCATACATACATACATACATATTTATTAGTGCCAATGTTGGGGCTTGAATTCAGGGCTTTACAATCTTACTTGGCTTTCTTGTTCATAGCTGGTGCTCTACCACTTGAGCTTCATCTCCAGTCCATATATATAATTAATTTTGAGCCATGCTTTAGATGCTGTTGCTAGGTTATTATCCTCTGATTTTTCATCTTGAATAGTTACAGAAAAAAATTAGAATAGGAATGGCAAACCATTATTCATTCTCTGATACTCATATTATCTTAGACATATACGGACATGTATTGCTTCTTTTAGGGGAGAAATTCTATATTCTTTATGAGGTTAATTCAGCTTTCATCAGACTCTGTAGTTATAAACTGATAGATTCATTTGGACGTGCACATCAACACCCTGTGTTATCACATTGTTTGTAGCATGATTCACACATGCACCTAAGAAAAAGCAGCATTCTGGTGAGGCGTAAAGGAGGTAAGAAGTGGTGGCATAGTATCCTTCGTTGTGTATTTGGAGCATATGAGTGTTAAGAGAATGCAAGCTGGTCATTGTTAATGCACTAATGTTCTTTACTGTCTACATTTAAAATTCTCCCAAGAGTATTAAGTGTGTAATAATTCTTTAATATTGTAGACTTAACATTTCACTCATCATAGTTTTCAGTGTTTGGTTATCTTTTGTTTTGCAGTGATGAAACTGGAGAATCTGTTTGTAGCTGCTTCAGGTCGATATTTGGCTATTCAATTCCACCTGGAATGTGCATATGTATTTTTGTATTACTATGAATATAAAAAAGCAAAAGAGCAGTTCAGTATTGCTAAAGATATCAGCAAATTACAAATTAATTTGACGGGTGAGATTTTTATCTTTTATGAATAATTGGATTTTGTGTTTGTATTGTATACTTGTATGTTATCTCCTTTTATCCTTTTTTCCTTCCTCCTTTTTCCTATCCTTCTTTTCTCCTTCTTTCCTTCTTCCTTTCTTTCTTTACCTCACTGTGTAACCTAAGCTCGCAGTGAACTTGCAATTAAATTTCCCAAGTCCTGGGGTTCTAGATAGATATCACCATGTGTGACTTAATTGATTTTTTTCTGGCCTAGTTCTTGCTTTAAAAAAAAACGCATTATAAATTTTTTTTTTTTTCCCTGTTTGTCATGGGCTTGAACTCTGGGCCTGGGTGCTGGCCCTCAGTTCTTCAGCTCAAGGCTAGTGCTCTGCCACTTGAGCCACAGTACCACTTTTGGTTTTCTGGTGGTTTATTGGAGATAAGAGTCTCAGACTTTCCTGAACTGCAATCCTCAGATCTCAGTCTCCTGAGTAGTTAGGATTACAGGTATGAGCCACTGGCACCCGGCATTTTAAAGATTTTATATTTTAAAATAAGCTTCACTTTCCGCTTTTTGGTGGATTTTGGAGATAAGAGTCTCATGGACTTTCCTCCTGGACTTGCTTTGAACCTTGGTCCTTAAATCTCAGCCTCCTAAGTAAGTAGGATTATAGTTACAAGTGTCAGTTTATAACTTTTGGAATAATGTGATAAATAACTTGGAGTCTTATGTGTATTTGAAAATGGAATTAGTTATATGTCTTATAACTTACAAGGTTAGACTCAGATACAATTCTTATATATTTTGGCCCTAGGATATTTTTTGGAAGACTTTAAAAAATGAATGACACCAAACTCAGAGTATTTAGATTTAATTGTTGGTAAATTTCTTAGCTAGTTTTTCTTACGTTTTTCTGCTTCAAGAGTGAAGAACTTAACAATACAAATATATTCACAAATAAAAAATGAGCATTGGTCATTACTGTTTTTCCACTCAGCTATAGACTACCATAAAAAAGTAAGCTATTTCAGTGGCTATCATACGCATGACCCATTTGAAAGGTTGATGTGTAACTTAGTACCAGACTCATCACAGGATAAAAAACAGACTTTTTTCCACTGGTCTTTGAAATCAAGGGTCTCTGTAGCTGACATTTTCCAGAAAGTAGATGTTGGAACTTCAGCTTCTCTTAGAAGTCGTCAGCACACAGCTATTCCACAGCACATTATTTCAGAGAGACATGTAGGAAAAAACCAGTTGTGTTATCTGAAGCTGGATAGAATGCTGCACTGTGGGATTTAGAACATGAAGACCTGACTTTAAGGGCCTGCTGTAATGTAGAGAGCTCTGTGACTCCATTAAGTGCCCTTGGCTTTTCTTCTGTTACCCAGAGCAATACTAGTACTTCTGTCTATTTCATTTAGTGAGTTATTATTTGAAGAAAGGAGTGGTCTGATGTGAAAAGAAGTGGGAAATTGAGTGGCTAAAGTCCTGGGTTTCAATCCTGGCACCGTAGCTTATTGGTTTTCTCATGTAATAAGTCATTTTATCATCACTGGCTTCCAGGTGTCTCTTAGGAGAAATGGAGAAACTTTGAAAGCATTTCTCTTCATATTGGTATTGTAATCTGATGGATAAGGTGGTGCATATAACTATTTTTTCAGGTGCACTGGGAAAAAGGACACGATTTCAGGAGAATTATGTGGCACAATTGATTCTGGATGTCAGACGAGAAGGAGATGCTCCTTCCCAGTGTGAATTCAGTCCAGCAGCCACCCCTCAGGAACACTTAACCAAGGTAGGTTGGGTTGTAAATGGTTTAATTCCGTTAACAGTTAAGTAACAATTTCAAGTGAGTGTCATAGAAACTGAATGGGTTGAGAAGCAGCTTCATTTTTCTATTCTTTTTTTCCTTTTCTTTTGCTTTCTCTCCTGGTTTGAACTCAGGACTTTCTGTTTGCTGGGCATGTATATTGAGCCATGCTTTCAGCCCCTCCTTTTCATTGCACCAGTGCTGAGAGGTGAACTTGGGGTCTGGGAACTGTCCCTGAGCTTTTTAGCTCAAAGCTAGCACTTTACCACTTGAGCTATTTATTTATTTTTGGCTTTTTTGGTGGTTAAGTAGAGATGAGAGTCTCGTGGACTTTCCCGCCTGGGCTGGCTTCAAACTATGACCCTCAAATCTCAAATTCCTGAGTAGCTAGTATTTCAGGTGTGAGCTAGCAGGGCTCAGCTTGTGTTAGTTGTTTCTGAGATACAGTCTTGCTTTCTGCCTGGTCCTATGTCTGGGCCAATAACCCCTTATTTTGATTGCCTGTTATAACACTTCTCTACCCACCTCTTTGTAGAGATGGGGAGTGGGTCTTAAACAATTTTTCTCTCAGACTGCTCTCAAACTACTATCATACCAGACTCAGCTTCCAAAGTAACTAGGATTATAGGCATGAGCCACTGGTACTTGGCCATTTTGTCCTTTCTTGCATGGATCTATTGTATTATTATGTGAAATTTTAGAATCAGCTTGTCAACTTGTTTACATTAGTGCCAGAGTACTTATAAATGTATCACAACTGGTCACATTATATTGTTGAGACACAGAGTTGGGGAGCTGACTCTTTGGATTACTGGCTTGAGGCCAAGTAGAGAGATCAGGGTTTGAATCCTGATACTACTATATACTTTGAATAGGATCAGTCAGCTGCTCTAAGTCCGTTTATTTTTTGTTCCCTCTTCTGCTTCTACAAGATGAATGGGTCTCTAATAAACATTTAGTCAGTGATAACCTGTTGATTGTGTGTATATATTATAGCAAGTTAAAGGTAAGTTAACATTATTTCCCTTAGGAAGCTTCTGAATGAATCAAACTTAATTTTGTTCTAAATATTTTCTTTTGTGTCCCACCAGAATCTGGAGCTCAATGATGATACTGTTCTGAATGAGATAAAGTTAGCGGACTGTGAGCAGTTTCAGGTCCCTGACCTATGTGCAGAAGAGCTAGCTGTCATCCTTGGAGTCTGGTAAAATAATTACTGGCTTTGCTGCTTTGAACATCTTGAATGTTGTCCTCTTGTGTTTGAAGAAATCTTTATTCAGAAAAGTCCAAAGAATTTTTAGGCAGCTGATTAAAAGGTTTGACATTAGGGATTTTTTTTTTTTTTTTTTTTTTGTGTCCGGTCATGGGGCCTGAACTCTGGGCCTGGGCACTGTCCCTTAGCTCTTCAGCTCAAGGCTAGCGCTCTACCACTTGAGCCACAGCGCCACTTCTGGCTTTTTTCTTTTTGCTTATGTGGTGCTGAGGAATCGAACCCAGGGCCTCTGGGATGCAGGGCAAGCGCTTTACCACTGAGCCACCTTCCCAGCCCCAAGATTAGGGATTTGTTGTATGTTGATATTCTTTCTGTTAAACTTTCTTTGGTTAGCCTCAACTGGGATTCCATTTATTTATTTATTTATTTTGGGTCCAGTCATGAGGCCTGAACTCTGGGCCTGGGCACTGTCCCTCAGCTCTTCAGCTCAAGGCTAGCGCTCTACCACTTGAGCCACAGCGCCACTTCTGGCTTTTTTCTTTTTGCTTATGTGGTGCTGAGGAATCGAACCCAGGGCCTCAGGCATGCAAGGCAAGCGCTTTAACCACTGAGCCACCTTCCCAGCCCCTGGGATTCCATTTTTTTTTTTGTTTGATGTCAGTACTGGATTTGAACTCAGGGAGTAGATATTGTTCCTTAGCTTTTCCGCTCAATGTTAGCATTCTACTAGCTCTACTTCTGTGTTTTTTGGTGATTAATTGGAGATAAGAGGGTCATAGACTTTTCTGCCTGGGCTAGCTGCAAACCATGATTCTCAGATCTCAGCCTTCGGAGTGGCATAGAAATAGTAAGCCATTAGCACCTGGCCATGAGATTAGATTCCTAATAAACTATAGAAGATAGGTGAGAGTGTTTATTTTGACTTCTGAAAATATTTACATTTCAAAGAATAGAATTTACTTAAAAAAATATAAAACTTTGTATTTTTGTATGGGGAGTGGGGCAGCTGTCCTGGGGCTTGAACTCTGGGCCTGGTGGGCGCTGTCCCTAAGCTCCTGTTACTCAAGACTAGCATTCTACCGCTTGAGCCACAGTGCCATGTCTAGCTTTTTCTGTGATTTAATTTGAAGATAAGAGTCTCACAGACTTTCCCAACTGGACTGGCTTCGAACTGAACCAAGATCCTTAAATCTCAGTGTCCTGAGTAAGATTACAGGCATGAGCCACTGGTGCCTGGCTTTTTTCTGCTTTTAAATAATTTGAACCTTAAAAACATAATTGTAAGTGATGGGTGAGTACAAAGTACTTCTGGTTTTCTTGTGGTTAATTGGAGATAAGAATCTCACAGACTTTCCTGTCTGGGAAGTCCTGGGCTGACTTTGAACTGTAGTCCTCAGATCTCATCCTCCTGAGTAGCTAGGATTACAGGTGTGAGCCACCAGCGCCTGGCAGCATTCCTTACTTTTTATACAAGCTTTGCCAAGCACATTTCTACATGTATGTATATAATGTAACATTATTTCTGCTAATATATAGAAAATTGTTCTATTTACTTTAAAATTTTTATTTCATTAGTTTTAACAGTAAGAATTAATTTACTTTTCTTTAAATCAAAGCACAAATTTCCAAAAGAACAATCCAGTTCATAAGCTAACTGAAGAGGAGCTGTTGGCTTTTACATCCGTGAGTAACGTCTTCCCTTTCCATTTCACTCTTTTTCCTTGTGACTAATTTGCCTCTGGTATATTCTTGTCTTTGATAGATCATGTTGAAACACTGACACTGGAATAAATTTCCGGGGGAGGAGGCGGGGGACCCTCTTCATTCTATTTTCCAAGCTGCCTCTTTCTAGGACAGACTTAAGCATGATTATCTCTCTTTGTACTTGCTTAGATTTGAAGACAATGACCAAATATCTCTCTGCCTGAATCTCCCTGCCTCATGTCCAGGTTTTCACTTTCAACACAGCCAGCGTAAACACTGTCCTTGCTCTCAAGGTTAAGAGTGGTAGACTAATTGAGCAACTATTATAAGCAAAATAATAAAATAGGGAGAGTCTGTGCATGGGGGTGAGGGAAGAAGAGGCAATAGAGGCTGCTTGTCAACTCTCAGCAGTGTCTGGAGACAAATGTGACTGAGAAGAGGCTGTGCGGTTTGAGAATTCAGGAGCACACAGCTTTTCTCTAGTGTAGAGCCTATGGATTATTTGGTCTCTTTACTGCAAAGAAAAAAGGAGGGAACGGAGGGTAAAAAAATGAAGGTGGCAGATAAAGACCACAGTTGGAGAGGAACAGCTATGAAGAGAAATAATGGCAGAACAGATGTATTCGGATTTAAGATGAAAGAAGGGTATTGAAGGACAGAAAAGAATTCCCAGAGGGAGAAGTCGGTCAGTATTTCTCCAGCGTAAGGCATCTTAATGGTCAGAAATTAGCTAGAGTTTTGATCTTCCTTTGTAATTTTTCAGATAGGGCAAAAGAAAAAAAAATTGATCTGGTGGAAAGAAAAGCTAGCTTATTTTACACTTTAGTAGAGAATTTTCAAATTACTCTTTCTTAAATACTCTCTTAGAACCGGATGTTGTTAATGGGCTGAGTTGGGTTTTAATCCACTTCTGATTCTTAGGAATCTGTAGTGTTCTTGTTTATTCCTCATGTGTGCCTGAGGGAACTTGGCAGGTGACATGGTAACATGGTTTTAATTTTGTTTATCCTTCAACTGTCTGTAACTATGTGCAGTAGATCATGCTTGTATCCTAGCACTTTGGAGATTAAAATCTGGAGGATGGCCGTTTGAGCCCAACTTGGGCAAAAAGTTTGCTAGACTTCTCAACCAATAAAATGGGGATGCTATAGCTTGTTTATCATCCCGTCATCCCAGCTATATAGGAATGAATAGAAAGATCCTGGTTGAGGGCATGAGCAAAAAGAAGATTGTGAGACTCCCATCTCAACCAAAGAAGCGGCTACAGGAAGTGTAAAATGGGATTGAGGTCCAGATGTTGGCCTGGGAAAAAAGTGAGACCTCAAAAATAATCAGTGTAAAAAAGGGCTGGAGTAGAGTACCAGCCTAACAAGGGTACTGCCAAAAAAAAAGTATTCTGTGATAGGTCTAGAGGCTGGTGTGCTGTTAGCCTTTAGGAATGCACTGGGGTACCTGGCCCCTAGTTGGTAGGAGAACATTCTTTGTTCCAAGCAGCCTGAATGGCTAAGAACTGTTTGGAACTAATGTTGATGTGGGAGAGAGCAGCATAGGGGACAGGGGCAGCATGCTACTCCTTGTTGCTCATATCTGTGTTTCTGCTCTGGTAGCAGCATGGTGGCCTCTGTCTGGGGTTGTGAACCTGAGTTGTCTTCTGTTGATAGAAGTGCAATAGGCATCTTGATAGCTTGCCAACAAGCCTTTGGATAGATGGAAGTCATAGGTTTTTGACATTTTGTAAATATTTATTCAATAAACAAAGGAACCGTTTTCTAGTTTTGATTTTGTTCAATTTTAATGAACTATCTTAAAGTTTACTAAAATACTAGTGAAAACTTTCCTAGAGAACTTTTTAAAAAAGTTTACATTAGGGGCTGGGAATGTGGGAGTGCTTGCCTCACTTGCTTGAAGCTCTGGGTTCGATTCCTCAGAACCATATACACAGAAAAAGCTGAATGTGGCGCTGTGGCTCAAGTGGTAGAGCACTAGCCTTGAGCAAAAGAAGCTCAGGTACAGTGCCCAGGCCCTGAGTTCAAGCCCCAGGACTGCCCCCCCCCCCAAAAAAAAATACTATATTGTTATTTTAGAGGTGATGTTACAGAAGGGTTACATTTACAAGAGTCAAGTAATAAGTATATTTCCTTTCGTATAGTGTTATCTGTTTCCTCATTCTCTCTCGTATCCTCTTTCCCATTTCCACCCATGAATTGTATAGTTCACTTTCATCAATGTTTAGAAAACTTTTTGCCAGTGGGTTTTTTGTTTTGTTTTGGTTTGTTTTTTTTCCATCTGTGTTTCCATGTTGGTACAGCATGTTGAACGGTACATGAGGTATGTTAGGAAAATGGTTTAATTCAGCAAAGCTAGACTCTTTTCCTAAGAGGAATAGCTTTACTTATGTAAGGCTGTCATTATTCTTAAGAAATTGTATCTGCATGGTTCAGGAAAACTGACTGAGTCATAGTAAAAATAACCCATATTGTTTTAGAGAAACATTTAAGTTATATAGGCTTGACAAGTTAAAATTAGCTGTGATATCTGTGTTATTCCCTTTCAGATGAGCCAAGTCAGTGACATTCAGTAATGTTTTTAATTTCCTCTCATTGTTGAAATGGGAACAATTTGGTTAATTCATACAGGTGTTTCAGTTTTCCTTGGCAAGAGTTTTGTTTAAGTGTGAGTTGACACTGGCAGTTTGCCTTCCGACTGTCTGCCTTAAGCCCTAAGGTCTCTACAAATGAAGGAAGGGAAAAGTCCTTTGGAAGTTTCACATTATATTACATATATTTTCTCTTTGTTATTGATTCCTCTTTCTTTATTTCTTTTTTTTCTTTTTTTTTGTTGGTTGTGGGTCTTGAACTCAGCACCTGGGTGCTATCCCTGAACTCTTTTGCTCAAGGCTAGCATTCTACCACTTGGAACCATAGCTCCACTTCCCTTTTTTTTTTTTGAATGGTTGGCTTCGAACTGTGATCTCAGCCTCCTGAGTCACTAGGATGACAGGTGTGAGCCACCAGCACCCCTCTCCTTTTTCCTTTTCTTTGCTTTCCTTTATTTTTTCTCTGTTGCCCAAGCTGGGCTCAAGTGCTCAAGTGGTCCTCCTGCCTCAGTATGCTTAGTGTTCACACTGCAAGCCCATACCACTATATATGGCTCTGCTATCTATCTATCTATCTATCTATCTATCTATCTATCTATCTATCTATCTATCTATCTATCTATCTGTCTGTCTGTCTATCATCTATCTATCTATCTATCTAGTCAGTTTTGGGGCTTGAACTCTGTGCCTGGGCACTGTCCCTGAGCTCTTCAGCTCAAAGAGAGTGCCCTACCACTTTGAGCCACTGTGTCAATTCCAGTTTTCTGGTGGTTAATTAGAGATAAGAGTCTCATGGACTTTCCTGCCTGGGCTGGCTTTGAACCGTGATCCTCAGATCTCAGCCTCCTGAGTAGCTAGGAATACTGGTGTGAGCCACTGACACCCGGCAACAAAGAATTATTTTATAGTAAAACCTATTAGGCAGACAGAACAGTCATAAATGTGAATGTGCCTAATAAAAGCTACATAATATATGAAGGAACAGTTGACAAAATTAAAGTGAAAATAGGTAATGTTGCCATCATACGTTAAGATTTTACACTGTGCTCCTTAGCAAGTGATGGAACAATTAGGCAAAAGCAGTGAGTAACTACATTACATCCCTATAACCACCATATCTGATTGACGTCTGTGGAATATATGCTCAGAATCCATGGGCTTTTGAAGTGCACATGATAGTAATCACCCGTGTCAGAAACAAACACAAAGTATTCAGCCTACCTAATGTATTTTGTGGAAAGAAGGTAGAACAAATACCCTAAAGAAAATTGCTTTATGTTCACATGTATTACAATTTTTACTGCTTTTCTGAGGTATAATTGGTGTAGTCTCCTTCAGATGTTTTTGGGAACCTGCATTCAAAAGAAGCCTACAGCTGGGTGTTGGTGGCTGAGATCTGAGGATCACAGTTCAAAGCGAGCCCCCTAGGAAAATCTGTGAGACTCTAATCTCCAATAAACCACTAGAAAAACTGGAAGTGGCACTGTGACTCAAGCGGTAGAGCGCTTGCTTTGAGCTGAAGAGTGCAGGGACAGTGCCCAAGCCCCTAGTTCAAGCCCCACGACCGACCCCCCCCCCCCAAAAAAAAAAAAAGCCTACATTCAAGTGGAAGACTATTCTGGCTAGAGCTATGTTTGATCTCATCTTTTTTTAAAAAATGAAATTTTTTTTTTTTTTTTTGGGTCCTGTCGTGGGGCCTGAACTCTGGGCCTGGGCGCTGTCCCTCAGCTCTTCAGCTCAAGGCTAGCACTCTACCACTTGAGCCACAGCACCACTTCCAGCTTTTTTCTTTTTGCTTATGTGGTGCTGAGAAATCGAACCCAGGGCCTCAGGCATGCAAGGCAAGCCCTCTACCACTGAGCCACCTTCCCAGCCCATGAAATGTTTTTTAAATTGCTTTTATAAAGGTGATATACAGAGGGGTTACAATTTCTTAAGTCAGGTAATGAATACATTTCTTTTGGGACAATTGTCACCCCTTCCTTAGCTCTATCCCAGTTTTTCCCTCTTGTCCCCACCCACAAGTTGTATGTATAGTTCATTTTCCATATAGTATCTAGTGAGTACCATTGCTGCATTTGTTCACCCTTTGTCTTCCATTTCTCTGCTCCACCCCCCAGTGACAGATAAACAGACAAGATAAAAAAAAAAGAAAAACAAAACATTGTTTCCATTTCCTGGAATGACCTCATCATTTAATATAGGCTATTGATGCTGAAAAGATTTTGAATTAAATTCTTTTTCCATTAGTAAGTCAATAATAAATAAGAATCAATAAACAGAAAGATAGCTAATATGGATATAAAAGGTTTAAAGAAAAAGCCCTCTGTTAAGACAAGCTACATAAGCTGTATGAGCTAAGCACATCATTGCTTCATAGCTA